GATCATCATAATTGTGAAGGTATGATGTTGTGTTATGTTGTTTAATAAAGTGACTTGTACAGATATTGATGAATGTGCTTTGAGCAATGATAAATGCTGGCACAATTGTCACAATACAATTGGAGGATATAATTGTAGTTGCAGAACAGGATTCAGATTATCTTCTGGCTATCGTTGCTTTGACATCAATGAGTGTAAAAGTAACAATGGTGGGTGTGAGCAGCGTTGTCAAAATACTGATGGATCTTACTACTGTGAGTGCAATGTAAATGGCTATGGTCTTGATGAAGATAAACATGGATGCTCACGTTAGTATTTATTACACTATATAAATTGATATCATATTTCTATAGGAAACTGCAGCACTGATCCTGATGCATGTCACCAAATATGCAATAATGATGGTGATTCCTCCTTGTATTGTTCATGTTATCCTGGTTACAGATTAGCTGATGATGAAAGAAATTGTGAAGGTACATTCTGAAATATTTATGCTGTAATTTTCAATGTAATTAATTTAGTGATCACCTTATGTTCTGAAAGTGTAGCAAACTGTAATCAAGTTTGCACTAATACAAATAATAGTTTTATTTGTTCATGTAATGATGGCTATGAGCTTCAAAATGACAATGCTACATGTCAGGGTAATGTATGCATCATAAAGGTTACAATATATAATCATAAGTCTCATATAGATATTGATGAATGCCCTTTAAACAGTGATAACTGTTGGCACAATTGTAGCAACACAAATGGAAGCTATGATTGTAGTTGCAGAACAGGATACATATTAGACTCTGATGGTTTCTCGTGTTTAAACATCAACGAGTGTGAAAATAACAGTAGTGGATGTGAACAACGTTGTATAGATACTGATGGATCTTATTACTGTGAATGCAATGTAACTGGCTATGGTCTTGATGGAGATAACCATGGATGCTCATGTTAGTATTTATAATAGATCTGAATTTTTATAGATCTAGCTAACACAAAATAATTCATTTGTATCATAGGGAATTGTGACACTGATCCTGATGCCTGTCAGCAAATATGCAATAATGATGGTGACTCCTTTAACTGTTCATGTTATCCTGGTTACAGATTAGCTGATGATGAGAGAACTTGTGATGGTACATTCTAAATATTAAATATCTTAATTTGTAATTTTTTTGTTCTCACAGTGATTGAGTTATGTTCTGAAAGTGTAGCAAACTGTAGTCAAGTTTGTACTAATACAAACAATAGTTTTATTTGTTCATGTAACGATGGCTATGAGCTATTAAGTGACAATGCTACATGTCAGGGTAATACATACATCATAAAGGTTACAATTAATAATCATAAGTCTCATATAGATATTAATGAGTGCATTAACAGTGACTGTGAACATAACTGTACCAATACTGATGGAAGCTACACTTGTTCATGTTATAGTGGCTACTCCTTAGATAGTAATGAGAGAAACTGTTCAGGTATTAACTGATATACATGCTGTGTGATTATAATAATACTGATCATAATTTATAGACATTAATGAGTGCCTTAATGAAAATGGAGGTTGTGAACAAAGGTGTCTAATCAAATTTCTTCTTTTGAATGTTCATGCAATGATGGATATGCATTAGAAAACAAGAAGTTTTGCTCAAGTATTGTTTTCTGTTATTAGTCATTTAATGTTAATGATCAATAGATATAAATGAATGTGATGAAGGAATATCAGGTTGTTCAGAATTATGTACAGATAAAAATGGATACTATAACTGTAGCTGCTTTGATGGTTATCAACTGGACACAGATAACCATAACTGTACTGACATTAATGAATGTATTGATAATAATGGAGGATGTGAAGAAATATGTGTAAATACTGATGGTAGTTATGAGTGTTCATGTCCTTTGGGTTATCAGCTTGACAATAATGGTTTAAACTGTAAAGGTATTTATGAGTTATTGTATCATTATTTATTGGTAATTTTTTTTAGATTTTGATGAATGTAGTTTTTACAAAGGTGGTTGTAGTCATACTTGTACTAATAATATTGGTTCTTATACCTGCTCATGTCCTAGTGGCTATAATTTGACAACTGATGGACACAACTGCTCAGGTTTATAACTTAAAATAGATAGACATTAGTTATTATCTCATATATTTTTTTCTTCAGATATCAATGAATGTGATGATGATGATGATGATGGTGGATGTTCTGATATATGCACTAATACTGCTGGAAGTTATCATTGTGAATGTTATGATGGGTATCAGTTTGTTGGAAGTGAATCTAAAAACTGTACAGGTACAATAGATTTAAATAATTAAGAAATTTTTTGTAACTTATTGTTAGATATTAATGAGTGTTTAGTTGATAATGGAGACTGTCAGCATATTTGTACAAATACCGATGGAAGTTATGAGTGTTCTTGCAATGCAGGTTACACTGGAGGTAGATTTTGTACAGGTATATTATACTTACAGTATAATAGTTCTAATCAACATCTTTAGATTTAGATGAATGTGCTTATGGTGTATCTAACTGCAATCAGACATGCTTCAATACTGATGGTAGCTACTACTGTGGTTGTGAGTATGGGTACAGCTTAAGTAATGACAGTTATTCTTGTATAGGTTAGACTATGTTTAGTTATTTATTTACATGTACATGATCATTTACAGATCATGATGAATGTGCTATGGGTACTGACACATGTGATCAAGTTTGTATCAACAATCCTGGTTCATTTCATTGTGGATGTAATACTGGTTATGCTTTAGCTGCCAATGAAATATCATGTAAAAGTAAGTACTGTATGGGGCCTATAATACTATTGATTAATTATCTGATATAAGATATTGATGAATGTCAAACTGACACTGATAATTGTGAACAAGGCTGTACTGATACAGAAGGTTCTTACACTTGCTATTGCTATTCTGGATATCAATTGAATACCACAACCAACATTACTTGTTATGGTATGCAAAAATTTTGTGTTATAGATTCCATTATTCATTGAAAAGATATTGATGAATGTATGGATGGAACATCTGATTGTTCTCAAATGTGTAACAATACTATTGGTAGCTATAATTGTAGCTGTAATATTGGCTATCAATTAGACAGTGATGGAGCAACATGTATTGATATTAATGAATGTAATCATAATAACGGAGGTTGTGGTGGAAGGTGTGAAAACACAGGGGGTAGCTACATATGTCTTTGTCCATCAGGATACTATTCACTTCACAGTACTGACACAAATTGCACAGGTTAGTTAGCTGAGTTTAAAAGCCTTACACATGCTTTAGGCATGTAATATTCAAAAGTGTTTTAATCTAGATATCAATGAGTGTAACTCATTCAATGGTGGTTGTGATCATTATTGTAATAACACCATTGGATCTTATGACTGCTCATGTAAAATTGGATATACTTTATCATTCAATGGGCATAACTGCTCAGGTTTGTTCATTTTGTTCATTTGTCAATCATGCATATATTGCTGCAGATATTAATGAGTGCAGTGATGATAATGGAGGCTGTAATCAAACC